GAGCGGGCCCAACCCGACCGCTGGCTCAACCTCCAAGCTTTCAACTGGGCGGTCTAGCACCGCCTCCACGTGGGCACGAGCCAGGCCCTCGGCCTTCTTGCGCCCGGCAGGCGCCTCCTCGGAGCCCTCGGCGACCCCGTTGGGCTTGCGCCTGTGCCACATCGTCTGGCGGGTCACGCCGTCGTTGCACACCTGCGGCCGCCGGTAGGAGACGGTGAAGCTCTCGCCCCTGTCGTCGCACGCGCACATGACCCTGTAAGGAAGGACTCGAGGATCACGGGGGAGCCCCGGGCCCGCTGCTGGAGCTCCCTCAGCCGCTGCCTCGCCTGGTAGACAGCTGAACAAAGCGCGTCGCGGGCATGGGCCGTCCCACGCATGAGTATGGAGGAAACTTTAGGGCGCACCTCGAGCTCGTCCTTCTCGAAGTCCACAGTAGAAGGCACCAACCTGCACAACGTCGCTGCAACGCGAAGGTCGCCGTCAATATAATCAAGAACTGAAGGCCGGAGCCCAGCTCGGAGTCGGAGCACTCCAAGTCCCCGCCGTCGTTGCCCACCTGATCCAGGGAAGACGTCCAAGTCACGTGGTCATCAGAATCCCCCAGGCTCGCGTCCTCGGCCTGTTGGCCAGATACCATAGTGGCAGCGCCTTGCGCCATCGGGCCTGCCGAGCCAACATGGCACTTCGATCTTGTCGGAGAAGGGGAAGTAGAAGGAGCTGCCATCCGGCCAGTGGCGGTGGCCTTCGGGGCCTGCATCTGGTCCTCGACGCGCTTGGTGGCGTTCCTCGCCTGTGCCTGGTCCTCGGTGCTCGTAGCGGCGGCGGTCCTCGCTTGCGCCTGGTCCTCGGCGCTCATGAAGCTGGCGGTCCCCGCCTGCGCCTGGTCCTCGACGCGCTTCACGATGGTGGCAGTCCTCGCCGGCGCCTGGTCCTGGGCGTGCTTCTCTGTCTCCATCTGGCAGTCCTTGCCGTCAATCTCCTCGAGGAAGCGATCCATCTGGGCCTGTTCCTCAGCCGTAGACGGAGCGGTGAACATCTGCTCGATAATACGACAATGGGCCCACCTGGCACTCGAAGAGGATGGAGAACATCCCGGCCCACGGGATTGCGACTGGAAGCGTCGCAAAACATGTTCTCTTCACCACGTAGCCAAACACGTACGACTCGCGAGCCCAGGTCCTCTAAGTCCAAGGCCCACCGCAGCAACATCTTGGAGATGCGCTGGTTAGCGAACAGCGTGTCGGTGAAGATGTTGTTGCGGTGGTCGGTGTAGACGATCGCGACAAAGCCCTCTGTCAGGCGGTGCGTAGCCGAGAGCGCCTCACGCAGTCCGAACAACTCGCGCTCGAAGGTGCCCCAGCCCTGCTCGGTAGCGTTAGAACCCCTGCCGACGACGGCAACTGGACGCAGAGGCCCATCCTTCTCGCGCCTCTGGGCTAAGAGTAGCCTAGCCGCCCACGCAATGTCCGACGCGTCCACGTACAGCTCGATTAGACGGCCAGACTGAGGGTCAGCCGCGGCCGCGTAGTCCAAACTTGCGAGTCCAACCTCGTGGGCCAGCGAACGCTTTGACTCATCGAAAGCCTACTGCGCGTCCTGGTCCTTCTCGTAGTCCGCGAACTTCGCGCCCTTGTTCATGTAGCGCTTCAGCGGCACCTCGATGGACGAGAAATTCGGAACGAACTCGCGCGCGAAGTTGAAGTACGCGCGAAAGCTGACAAAGTCGTCGATGCTCTTGGGGTTCGGCCACTTCTCGATCTTCTCTGCCTTGCCAGGGCCCACGTAGCGAAGGCCTCGACCGAACTTGAAGCCCGAGAGGTGAATGAACTCGTGCGCAAACTTGCTCTTCGCCAGCTTGAACTGGATGTTCTTCTCGCGGGCTGCCGCGAGGAAGCGGGCGCAATGCTCGATCTGCCTGTCCACCGCGTCATCGTCGGCGTCATTCTCGTAGGCCTCGGTAGACAGCAACACAGAAAAGAACTCCTCGTCGCTGGGCCCACGCACATCGCCGAACGTCCAGTGCATGAGCTTCAGGAAGATCGCTGGGCCCTGCTCACCACCGAAGAAGAGCGCGAGCGGGCGCGGCATCCCGCGCTTCGTGACCAGCGTGAAGACGCGCTGAGCCTCTGGAGCAAGCTCGATCTGAGTGAAGCCCCAGATGCAATCGAGCTGCGTGTATGGCACCGTTCTGGGCACGCTGCAAGCCTTCGTCGGCTCGTGAACTCGGCGACGCCTCCTCCTCGGTGCAGCTGTTCGGGTAGCGGTAATGTCGTACTGGTCGATCCAGCAAACCTTTGTTATTCTGGTCGGCTACGAAAGATGGCGAACCCACTCCGACCGCTCGCGGGGAAGAAGCCAACGAGCTTTGCCCTCTTCCACCTCTACGTCCTCGCGGTAGCGAAGACGCAGATCGTCGAACTTGCTCAAAGGGGACGGCTGCGTAACCTTCGGGGTGGCATCAGCAGGAAGTCGGCCACGAAGTCCTTGACGCGCGGTGGATTGCAGCCAGGCAACCACAGGCAAGCAGCGAAGGCCCGCACGACCTTCGTCAGAGACCGCTGGCGCTGCTTGCGCGTGAGCTGGGGGCCCAGGAGCGGCGCTGCCTGCTTCTCGGCCTCATCCTTGTACGCAGGCGACTCCTGGCCAGGCCACTGCACCTCAGCCTTGCACTTCTCCTTGTCCTCCTCGATCTCCTTGACGAATGCGGGGAAGAGCTCTTCGCGGCGAGCCTTCGTCCCGCGCGTTTTGTAGGACGTCTTGAAGAGCTCGGCCTGCGTGCCACCTGCGCCAGGGCATGTCCGACCTGAGCTGCTGGGTTGCCCTTCGTAATCATTGTAGGCCTGGTGCCGAACCTGGTGCATCTGGTAGATCTCGGCAGCGCGCCTGGACTCCTCTTTGCCAAGTACCGTCGGTGCCTCGACGTCGCGAGGGCGGTGGAGGCGAAGTCCAGGTCCAAGATGGACGCGCTCGTGCGCGATAAGATCCACGTTGAACATGCCGCTTTTGAGCACCACGGGGCCCTCTATCACCTGGATGCAATCAGGGCGGTCAGGGCCTGGCTCAATCCAGAGACTGCTTGACCTTGCCTCTGGCGGCGCACGCATCGGGATCGTCTCGACGATGCTCTGGCCAAGAGGCGCCTCCAGAATCTTGTGGTCCGAGACGTGCAGGAAGGCGTGCGTGGCGGGGTCGTCATTCTCGCCTGGGAGGACCGTCGGGAAGCGAAAGCCGAGCGAACGAAGCTCGATCTGGTCCTTGTCCGAGACAAAGCCGCACCGGTCCAAGGTAGGCTTCCCAATCAGCAGGTCCTCCGCGCATTCTTTCAAGACAAGGAACCCAATCAAAATCGCCTTGGTCTTCGCCACGCCATCCTCGCGGAAACTCACCTCCAACGTCGCCGGCCTGTCGACAATCACCGTCTGGCCCCTCTCGAAAGACTTACTTGCACATGATCGGCTGGATCTGCTGCGCGCCCTTGACGAAGTCGGCCGTCTTCGGCCCCCTGAGCAGCGCCTCGAGGAAACCGCGGTCGATGGAGTTCCGAGTTGCACCAGTGTCCAAGACGGTCTCGGCGCGAGCGGGTCCGATCCAGGCAAAGCCTCTGCAGTTGTAGCCGCCAAAGACATTCAACGCGCACTGCGATGACTGGTTCAGCGCGCCGACCCTGCGGGCGACCTCGTGATTGACGGCTGCGGCCATCGATGGAGAATTTGCATTCTGCGCGCGGGCCTCGAGCCCGAAAGCGACGGCGCCCACCGCGGCCGACGGCGCCAGGAAGCCCATCAGGAACATGGTGAATTTGAAAAGGTAGTGCCGCACCTGGCTCACGGTGCGCACCAGCCAGCCGCGTGCCGGCGGCGGCTTCCACAAGTCGGAGTCGAACTCGTGGTGCTCGTCCAGGTTGATACGCGATCCCCCAGGCTTTGCCTCGCCCGAAGTCTCGCCGTCGACGTCCATCACCATGAGGGACGCGAGCAGCTTGGCAGCGCGGTCGGCGCGCTCCTGCTGGTCGGTGGCGTGGCTGCCGTCGAAGTTGAGCATGAGGGCGCGGCCGTCGCCGCGGCCTCCTGTCAAATTGCCCCTGCCCCCGCGGCCTTTGCCAGCGTCCTTTTCTTATTCCTTCTTCTTCTTCTTGAGAAACTCCTCGGCCTCCTTCGCGCCCTCCACTTCGTGGCAAAGCGCGCGGTGGCGGCCGAAGTGCCCGCGGCCGACGCGAGGCTTCCCCTTCCCCGGCGCTTGTGCCGGCCTGGCATGCCGCCCTTGACGCACTTCGAGACATCGAAGCTCTGCTCCTCGCCCGCCTTCTGGTTTGGGCACATGGAGCACTCGGGGCGAGTGCCCTTGCGCCAGCTGCAGTCGCCAGTACCTGCTCGCACGCTCTTGTCGTCCTTGTGCCCCCCTTTGGCGGCCTCCCGCGCGGCCTGCCAGCGGGCGTCTGGCTGCTGGGCCGTTGGCGTCGGCGGCGGCGGCGCGCCTGCCGAAGCGCTTCCGGCAGAAATGGACTCGATGATCTGCTTGGTCTTGGCGAACGTATCCTGCTAGCTTCTTGGCCTCCTTCTTTCGCTTCAGCCTTCGCCTTCGGATTCCTGGGGTCCACCGCGTCATTGGTCGACGTCAATCTCTGACCTGGCTTGGCGTCGCCAGCCCCAAGACCCACGCGCGCGCGAACTGCGCGGCCAGGAATAGTCATGTCGGTGTCCTCGGAGCCCCTGATCGCCAGTCTCCTCGGGGACTTCGGAAGGCGCAGCAAGTGGCTGATCAGCGCGGAGCCCTCAATCTTCGCGCTGAGCTCCTCAATCTCCCTCATCAACACGGGGCTCTCGGAGTCGTCGGCGGGCATGCCGCGCTTGACCACGTCGGTGCGGACGGCGGTGCGCTCGTTCAGGAACTCGGCGACCGCGTCGACGCTGGCGTCCTTGGCGAGCGAGAACCTGCTGTACTTCCGCACCGCCTCGTTCGCCTCGTGCTCGTCGTCAATGTGCACCGCGACCTTCAGGCGCCTGGCGTACTTGATCCAGATCGCCTCCCAGCGCGGGTTAGACCGCTCTTTCAGCAGCGCCTGGCACGCGTCCTCGCCGCCCAACTCGGTCACGATCAAGTCCTCAATCTCGATCTTTGCCGCGCCCTCTGCGATCGCTCGAACGCCCTCAATCCAGATGGCCTTGCTCGTCTGGCGCGACTCGTTCTGGTAGATCCTAACTTCTCGAGCTGCTGCTTCGGGGCCTCGGCGTCAGAAACCGTCAAGATTGGATTCGCCGGCTTCAGCTTCGAAGACGACTCCCGCTGAGCCTCTGCCATTTCTCCTGGGCTCGCGTGCGCCGAGCCAGCCGCGCGCGCTGCTCCTCGGCGCCTGCGCGCTGCCGCTCGGCCATCTGCTGCGCGAGCGCCAGCATGGCCCCAGCAACGCCTGCGTCTGGCGATGGCGCACTCGAAGAAGAAGCCGGACGCGCTGCAAGACCTGGCGGCGGCTGATGGTACGTAGGTTCAGCGTGGCCTGCGAACCCGAAGTCGCCCTCGAGGCCCCCCTGCCCGTCGCCCAGCGGCGCCTCGCCCTGGTCCTCGGCGGACTGCAGCTGGACCAGTTCCTGGGCAGCCTCTGCCAGCGCAGCGATCCCTCTCGGCGTGGTGCAGCGCCTGGCTGGCGTAGACGTTGATCCTTGCTGAATCAGCGGCGCGGTGGCACTCGACATCCGCATGCCGGGCAGCTGCCACGCGGGCGTCTGCATCGGCCCGAGCCGCTGCGACCTGCCTAGCCGCATCAGCCTCCACTGCCTCGCATCGGACGGCAGCCCCACGAACTTCTTCACGAAGGCCACCATCATGCGCTTGGGCCCGAATACCCAGTCGGCGGCGAACCACTTCAGTGATCTCGGACTCCTCCGGCAACATCAAATTGAGCTGCTGGGCTTCCTCGCGGTGCTGGGTGTAGTCCTCGGCGTTGAGGTCTCGCTGACGCCGGACCTCAGCGTCGGCCTGCTGCCACTCGCCATGCAGCCGATCGCGGGCGCCAAGCAACTCTGCAGCCTCATTGCGAAGCGCAGCCTCGGTCTCACCAGCCTCGACTTCGAGCGACGCCTCAGCACCTGCGATCACCGCCTCAGCAACGCGAATCTCGCCGACTGTGGCGAGGGCGGCGTTGCGCTCAACCACATGCATGTCGTTGAGCTCGCCCTCGGCGTGGACGGTCGCCTCGTGCCGAGCCTCGGAAATGCGTTGCTGGTACTCCTGCGGCGCACGAGCAAAGTCCTCGTGGACGCTCTCGCGGTAAGCCTCGACTTCGGCCTCGGAGACACGCAATCGCAATCCAACGGTGGCAAGCTCAGTCCGAACCTCCTGCTGGGCCAAAATGCCAGCATAAGCGGTAACCTGATTCTCCAACGTAGGGTCATTCCTGCGCTCACGCCAAATATCCACTATACGCCTCGCGATGGTCTGGACCTCCAAGAAGACCCTCGAATACTCGACGCTAGCCATCGCTGCGCTAAAGGCGCTGGCCGAGAATGAGACGATGAACTTCGGCGAGAACTCGATCCCACCCGGCCTGCATCCGTCCCTCGGCACAAAGATAAGGCTCCACTCGTATCTTGGATCGTCGACGAAATTGCTGTCAGCGCCAACGGAGGCCACGCCGGCATCCACGATTGTCTGTTCGGGTTCATTCCTCTGGAGAGGACTCGCAAGAGTGAGCTGCTGCTCCGCAATGTCGCACGGCAAGTCTTCCCCAGTGTGTCCACCAGATTTGAGTGTAGGTTCTGCTGCAGCTAACTCTACATGTCTTACCACAACAAGCTGACTTACAGGGAAACGACAATCGTATCTCGGATTCGGCGGGGAATTCCACGCAGCCCGCAACCAGGAATCGAGGCTGACAGCCGCCCGCTTATCGTGACGATCGGTGGCGCTATCGACGGTTCCGGTCTTGCGTTTTCCCATGCGCTAGCGCACTCGTCCTGCCCACGTCTCGGTGGGACTTGAGCCAAAATCAACAGTGCAATACTATAGAGGGTCTGAAGTGAGACGGGACACGTGGCCGTGTTCTGTCCCACCAGAACGCCCTGGAAACGATGCCCGTCGCCCTTCAGAGCGCCTCAGGTTCGAGAGAAACCCGCTCTCAAAATATGCGTTCGGTGTCTTTTCAGAAAAGATCTCCTAAAAGGTACCGGGGGCCGAGAATGAGCTGTAGGAAGGCCCTGGACGCCTAGACCCAAGGAAATTCCACTGCAGGACATCCCGGACCTCGATCCGCAGGTCCTGGGGCCAAGAAAAGACAACTACAGCATGCTTCACCACCGGGCTAACCGTACCGACGCATGCGTTGCCACGATTCGTCGAAAATTATGTTTCCACCGCAATTGCACCTACGCGCCCCAGAGCTGCCAGAAATGTAAAGTGAAATGCCCTGAGTGCGAATATGATGACGAATAAACCCTAGGTGCAACAAACACGCTTCTAGAATACAAATGGACAAATGGACAAATTACGTGCAAATGATGAGCGGAGGCAGTGGGAGAGGGATACTACTACTACTGTGCAAAAGTATTCCCCATTCGCACAGGAAAGCGGATCCTGGTGCATGCAGCCCGACGTCCTCCCTGACCCTCGAAAACTCTGGGGATTGAAAAACAGCCCGCCACTGGTAAATTACCAGTCGCGGGCTGTACATTAAATGTGCATCAGATGTACATTAAATGTACATGCGATGTACACGAAATGCACATTACATGTACATGAAATGTACATTAAATGTACATGATGTGGTAAATTCCCACATGAAATGTACATTACATGCACATGCTCCAGTCCCATACCCCGCCCTGCCGCGGGGGGGGGCACGGTCGCGCCCCCCCGCCTGCGGAGGCCCCGGCGGCGGCCGCGCCGGCGCTGGCGCCGAACAGGGCGCCGGCGGAGCCTCGGGGCCCAGGAGGGCTTTTTTTTGAGAGGCTCCCAGAGATCCGACGCACTGAAAACCTCACGATGGAGGCTCTTCGCAGTTTTCGGACTCCAGGGCCCTTGCAGAGTCTCGGGGCCGTCAGAGAACAGCTCAGGATGGAGAACGGGCTCTTGGGAACGTGTCGAGACTTCTGGGGACCCCGCATTGAAAAAACACGGCGTCGGATCTCTGTTTTGGGGCAGTTCCGGAGGGCTTTCGGAAAATGTCGGAGGGACTTCGGGCGCGGTCTAACCGACCCGTAGCAAACCAACTCCTTCCGTGACGCCATGCTCGCCTCTCAAGCTTCCCTCTGGCCGCATACATACGTCTTGGGGCGAGGCGAGGGGGACGTCACAAAAGGGATGACTTGCTAAGGGTCGGTTAGGTCGCCCCTGAGGATTTCGGAGGGGTTCCTGACAATTTCGGAGGGTTTGTAAAAGAATCTGCGGCCCGCCCTCTGGTTGACCCAAAGGGGGTCCGGCTGAAAGAAGGTGGTGCAATGGGTTTGTGGCAACTGTGTTGCAAATGTACTGCGCCAAAGAATTGTATTGCATTGCATTGCACCTAACGCATTGCACGCGGAAGTACAGCAGTGCATCTGCGCACAGGAATGCACTGCAAGCCCCAAATCTAAAGCAACCCCACAAATCTATTGCACCACATGTGTTGCACCACCCCCTTTTCGCTGGACCCCCTTCTGAGTCAACCAGACGCCCGCCCGTCGGAAGCGCCCGACACATCGTCCAGACTCTTTCGGAGGCCCTCGGGGCCCGGGGCACAGCCAGGGTAACGGCGTAGGGTTTTCGATTATTTGTTTCGAGGCGTTGGCGGGACTTGGTGTCGTGCGACCTGGTTCAGTGATGTGTACTGGGGGATGCCCCCCCCGCCCCATTCCACCGACCGGAAGAAACACCAGCTGCGGCAGGCCTGATTTGGTGATTCTGGCCCACTCCGGGGGCGTCGGGGCCCGATCACTAACCAACTACCCTTACCTGGGGTCCTGGCTATACCCATAATTTGCATCTTCGGGGGACCTTGTCCGTGCCCTCGCGCCCCTATCCGCGTCGAATCCGTGTCGAATCCATGTGGCATTCGTCGAATACGCATCGAATCCACGTCGAATCCCAGTCGAATTCACGGCGCATCCGCGTTGAGTCCGCATCGAACCCGCGTCGGGCACAAGAAAAGACACCAATTTTAGGGACAGACGAGGTCCCCCGAGGATGCGACGTAAATGCCCGATGTTCGACGGTCGAAAAACGACTCAGGATGAACAACTTGTCCTGGTAATGCGTCGAGACCTCCTGGGGTCGATGCTAAGAGAATCTTGACATCGGGGGTCGAGACCTCCTGGGGTCTGGGGGTCTTGACCTCCTGATCCCAGAACCAACTCGGCTGCATGCAAGAGTGACCCTGCGTAAGACTGACCTTTGGTGCGCGATTTTTGCGGGCCGCGGGGTGTCCAAACACAAGCGCGCAAAATGCTACTACCGCATCGTAATCGGCGATCGGGGGACCCCACTGGGCCCGCACCAAAGGTCACTCCGGCGAAAGGTCACTCATACGTGTAGTCGGCCAGCTCACAAAAGGGGAAGGGGAGGGGCCTCCCGGCCTCCTCTTGTGGGGGCGGAGAAGCGACCGCGGAGCACGATCCTCTTCGCGCCCCCAGGACGGCCTCGGGCAGCCAAAGCTGGCCCAGGGTAACCAAATACGTTCTCTCCAAGATCTCGGGTCAGAAAACCACCCTCCCGGCCCACCCTCTCCCTCCCATTTCCGTCGAGAGCCGAGGCCTCCAAGGACGACGGCACCCGACGTAAGGGCTTCGCAATACGCTCCCTCCCAAAAAGATACGTGGCTACGGCCCTTCCCAAAGATGCCACCACAAAGCCCAACAGATCTCAGAGACAAAACGGAACAAGTCTGCTTTTTGCCTTCTCGCCTTTTCGCTTCCGATGAGCTTTTGAGGCCCGCGAGGGGGTGCGGCAGCTTTCGGCCTCCCCCTCCCCCTCCTCCTGCTCCTCCTCCTCCTCCTCCTCCTCCTCCTCCTCCTCCTCCCCCTCCTCCCCCCTCCTCCTCTTCCTCCACCACCTCCACCACCTCCTCCTCCTCCTCCTCCTCCTCCTCCTCCTCCTCCTCCTCCTCCTCCCTTCAAGATGGATCCGAGCTTGCCCAGGAGCGCCCCGAGCAGGGCCCACCCACTGGCAAGTGCCGCACCCCGAGGCAGAGGGGCGGCACCCCGGGCAACGGGAGGCGACGGGTGGCCATCGGAGGCCTCAGGAGGCCAACACCCATGAGCAAGCACGACGTGTTTGCGTCTCCTCCTCCTCCTCCTCCTCCTCCTCCTCCTCATCCTCCATTGTCCTCCTCGTCCTCCTCCTGCTCCTCACCTCGTCCTCCTCCTGCTCCTCCTCCTCCTCCTCCTCCTCCTCCCTCCTCCTCCTCCTCCTCCTCCTCTCCCTCCCTCCCTCCTCCTCCTCCTCCTCCTCCTCCTCCTCCTCCTCCTCCTCCTCCTCCTCCTCCTCCTCCTCCTCCTCCTCCTCCTCCTCCTCCTCCTCCTCCTCCTCCTCCTCCTCCTCCTCCTCCCACCCACCCCGAGGGCCCCGAGGCCAACAACAAAGGGGCCATGTTTTGCGTCGGCGGCTAGGCAAAGGCCGTCTGCGCTGGCGGAAGGATCTCACTAACCGGGGGCACCGTTGCAGCGAGTTGGCCAACATGCAGGAGCGGGAAGAAAGGGACAGAGCAGGCGTCCGCAGAGAGGGGGGGGGCGAGGCGAAGGCCACTCAGGGGGGACGGATTACCAGGGGAACATCCAGGGGAGCAGGAAGCCGTGTGCTGAGGCTGTACACTGCCTTGTCCCCAGGCGAGTACGGCACCATGGGAGACCAGGGGAGGCTGAGCACGCGGCTGTTTGAGGCTATGCGCGGAGTGCACATGCGGCTCTGGGAATCCAAGAGCTCACGGTCGAGTGCGGCACCCAGGGCCCTGGTCGGCCATGTGAGGCGGCATGCACTCGGCACCCACAAACCGCCCCTAGCACCACATCCCAGCTCCTGACGGCTCCACTCAGGACCCCGGCGCATGGGTGGAAAAGAACAAGGGAAGAGGAATGATCGAACACACATTGACACGTACCACATGTGGGCGACGCGAAGCAGGCAGCATGTCTGAAATCATACCCACACTCACAAGGAAATCATCATCCTCCCTCCCCATTGCTTTCCTGCTTCTCACCCTCGCCACCCTCGTCTTACTTCACCTCGTCTTACTTCACCTCTTCGCGGCCCCCGACCTTGCGATGGTTTCCGACAAGAAGATAAATCAACAAGCTTGGCTTTTTGGACGGAGGCGATTCAGACGATCTGAGAGTCTCGCCGCAGCCTAACCCCTCTTCTGCGTTCGTTCATAGTCAAGATCACTGAACGACATAGTGTGCTTGAGTGAATTGGGTATCTAGCGGATACCCTTGGGAGGCATTTGGGCCTCACGTCAGATAGCTCAAGGTGGCTTCCAGCATGGGGTACGATGGGGCGATGGACCCATGTGGCTCGAGATGGCATCTGGCTCGCCTCCACGATGCCTCCAAGACTGCCCCGAAGGCCTCGAGATTGCCTCAAGAAGACCCAGTACATATGGCCACAAGACCGCACACGACGACGGTCCAAGATGGCCCCAGACGGCACAAGATAACCTCAATTCAGCCGCAGAGGCGCCCCGGAGAGGCCCAAATCTTTGAAACACATGAAGGTTTGTATGAGTTTGCACATGTCAGTTGATCGGCCAGCGGGGCGTCCAAGACGGCCCAAGAAGCCTGCAGGCGGCTCTCAAGACGGCCCAGAACGGACCCCCAGCCCCGCCGAGGGGCCCGATGTGCACCAAAGGCGGGCCAAAGAGGAGCCCCAGAGGGGCTCCAGGAGGCCTCCAGAACCTACAGGAGGCCCCAAGACAGCCCAAATGGTGCGAAGAAGCCTCACAGAGGCCCTCAAAGGAGCCCCCGAGGAGCCCCAAAAACGTTTCTGGGAAGCCCCCCTGACTGCAAAAAACCCACATGGACGGTCACGCATCACGAAGGGGGCTCCGCCGTGGCTTTCGCACTGCGGGCTAAAACACAACAATAAGCTCATTAAAATCAGGCAAACGAGGCGGTCCTCCCGCGCACCACACCCGCCAATCCCTGACGACGCGCCTTGTGGTGAGGAAGCAAAACATATGTGGAGCAAACAAGAGCAGGAAGACAGAAAGAGCAAGGCGAGGAAAAGCATGAGTAAAAATGAAGACGGCGCAGTGGATAACGGCGACGGCGTTTTGGAAGGCAAGGGATGAAAATAAGAGCTCGTGCGGTGGGAGATCAAGGACCCCTGCCAATCCGAGGGCGGCGCCACTGGTGCTAGCGCCAAACAAACCGCCAGCGCCGGCGGAGGCGCCGCCTGAAGCGCCAAACAACCCCCCACTGGCGGCTGCACCTGGCAACGCGCGGGAATTATCGAAGAGGCGAATCTGCCTGCCGCTGTTCATCCTACAGATCCCTCTCATCCCTTTCCTTCTCTCTCTTTCTCGGCCTCCTCCTGTACGTCCTCCCCAAAACTCCCTCTGTGTAGCTCTTCGTCCTCCCCTCCTTCTCGTCCTCTATCGTCATCCTCCTTCGCGCCGTGCTCCTCCTCTTTCCTCCTCTAAATATACTACCTCTTTTCATCATCCCACATCTTACTCTTCAAATGTTCGCGACGTTGACGCAAGTCCACTTTCACATCCTCTGCATTCTCCCCGTGCAACTGCTTCTACCACTTTGATTACGGCTACGATTATGGTTGCGAGCGCTACTACTACTGCTACTACGACGACGACTCGCCCTATACCTACCACTGCTACAACAGCTCGCAAAACTTCAACTACGAATCACGTTAGCAAAGGGACTGGATGTATGTGTGGTGCTTCATCTCCTCCTACGGTGACCACAACTACTAATGCTACCACGACTATACTACCAACTAGCATGCCGCACTGGCGGATAAGAGTAAGGTGGCGGGAGCGGGGTGGGTCGCGGATGGGGCGCGGGCGGGTCGCGGTGTGTCGCGGAGTGGGTCGCGAGTAACGCGTGGATCGCGGGTGGGTCGCGCGTGTGTCACGGGTGGGTCGCGGGTGGGTCGCGGGCGGGACGCGGGTGGGTCGAGGGCCAGGTCGCGAGGACAACAACAATAACAACAACAACAACAACAACAACAACAACAACAACAACAACAAAAACGGCAGCAGCCGCAACAACAATAACAACAACCAACAACCAACAACCGACCAACCAGCCAACCAGCCAGCAACAAAAAGGAAAAGGCGTGCGTGGGAGCCCCGTGAGCTCTAGCCGTCCGGACCCGCCCTCGCCTTTTTGCGAAGGCTGCGCTCAGAGCCCCGTGGACGCATTCTGACCCCCCCCACAGCAACAGCAACAGCAACCAGCAACCCGAAAAAAAAAACTGGAACTCCCTTGGACTCCCTTACGGACCTTGTCGTGGTCCGATGGGTGAAAAACGTATGCGTGCCAGCGTGCCGCCGCTTCAATACAGATCCGATACAGACTGTATGGGATCCTGTAGAAATCCGATACAGACTGTATGGGATCCTACATAGATCCGATACAGTCTGTATAGGATCCTATACAGATCCGATACAGACTGTATGGGATCCTGTAAAGATCCGATACAGACTGTATAGGATCGTGTAGAGATCCGATACAGACTGTATGGGATCCTGTATAGATCCGATACAGACTGTATAGGACCCTGTACAGATCCGACACAGACTGTATGGGATCCTGTAGAGATCCGATACAGTCTATATGGAATCCTATACAGATCCGATCTAGACTGTATGGGATCCTGTAGAGATCCGATACAGTCTGTATAGGATCCCATACAGATCCGATACAGACTGTATGGGATCCTGTAGAGATCCGATGCAGACTGTATGGGATCATGTAGAGATCCGGTACAAACTGTATGGGATCTTGTAGAGATCCGATACAGACTGTATGGGATCCTGTAGAGGTCCGATACAGTCTGTACAGGATCCTATACATATCCGATACAGACTGTATGGGATCCTGTAGAGATCCGATACAGACTGTATGTGATCCTGTACAGATCCAATACAGACTGTATAGGATCCTATACAGATCCGATACAGACTGTATGGGATCCTGGAGAGACCCGATACAGATCGTACAGGATCCTATAGAGATCCGACACAGACTGTATAGGATCCTGTAGAGATCCAACACAGACTGTATGGGATCCTGTACAGATCCGATACAGACTGTACCTCGTCTTACTCATCATCATCATCATCATCATCATCATCATCATCATCATCATCATCATCATCCACCTCGTCTTACTCATCGTCCACCTCGCCTTACTCATTATCAGCATCATGGTCCACCTCGTCTTACTCACCATCATCATCATCGTCATCATCCTTATCCACGTCGTCCTCATCATCAACATCACCATCACCATCATCATCATCACCATCATCATCGTCATTATCGTCATCATCACCATCATCATCATCATCGTGGTCGTCGTCGTCATCATCATCACCGTCATCATCATCCTCATCCACGTCATCCTCATCATCACCATCCTCATCACCATCCTCATCATCATCATCATCCTCATCCGCATCCTCATCATCATCATCATCATCGTCGTCGTCGTCATCATCACCATCATTATCATTGTCATTGTCGTCGTCGGCGGCCTGGTCCTCCGCCCCGCCAATGTCCCTCTATCTCCCTGCCCCTCCCACCAGGCGGGCACGCCAGGTGGCGCGCGGTGGCGGGGCGACGAAACCGACGACGACGACAACGACGACGGCGGCGACGACGACGACAACGACGACGACGGCGACGACGACGGGGGTTATAGAATTCCTACGGAGGCCTATAGAATCCCTATGGAGGCCGATAAAATTCCGATGGAGGCCGATAAAAATTCTATGGGGGCTTATCTAGAATTCCTATGGAGACCTATAGAATTCCTATGGAGGCCCATCGAATTCCGATGGAGGCCTGCAGAATTCCCATGGGTGCCTATAGAATTCCTACGGATGCCTATAGAATTCCGATGGGGGCCTATAGAATTCCTAGGGAGTTCTACAGAATTCCTATGGAAGCCTATAGACTTCCGAGGGAATCCTATTAGGGAATCCTTGGCGCCCCCAGGAGACCCCCAGAGAGGGTTGCTGGGTTGCTCGGTTGCTTGGGGGGGGGGGGCGGCCGGGGCTCCCACGCACGCCTTTTCCAAAAGGAAAAGGCGTGCGTGGGAGCCCCGTGAGCTCTAGCCCTCGCCTTATTGCGAAGGCTGCGCTCAGAGCCCCGTGAACGCATTCTGAACCCCCCCCCACAGCAACAGCAACAGCAACAGCAACCAGCAACCCGAAAAAAAAACTGGAACTCCCTTGGACTCCCTTACGGACCTTGACGTGGTCCTATGGGTGAAAAACGTATGCGTGCCAGCGTGCCGCCGCTTCAATACAGATCCGATACAGACTGTATGGGATCCTGTAGAGATCCGATACAGACTGTATGGGATCCTACATAGATCCGATACAGACTGTATAGGATCCTATACAGATCCGATACAGACTGTATGGGATCCCGTAGAGATCCGATACAGACTGTATAGGATCGTGTAGAGATCCGATACAGACTGTATGGGATCCGGTAGATACCCGATACAGACTGTATAGGATCCTACAGAGATCCGACACAGACTGTATAGGATCCTGTAGAGATCCAACACAGACTGTATGGGATCCTGTACAGATCCGATACAGACTGTACCTCGTCTTACTCATCATCATCATCATCATCATCCACCTCGTCTTGCTCATCGTCCACCTCGTCTTACTCATCATCAGCATCATCGTCCACCTCGTCTTACTCATTATCATCATCATCATCATCGTCATCATCCTCATCCACGTTGTCATCATCATCCCCATCACCATCATCATCATCATCATCATCGTCGTCATCATCACCATCATCATCGTAGTCGTCGTCGTCACCATCATCATCATCATCATCATCGTCATCTTCATCCTCATCCACGTCATCCTCATCACCACCATCCTCATCACCATCCGCATCATCATCATCATCAGCATCCTCATCCGCATCCTCATCATAATCATCATCATCATCGTCGTCGTCATCATCACCATCATTATCATTGTCATTGTCGTCGTCGGCGGCCTGGTCCTCCGCCCCTCCAATGTCCCTCTATCTCCCTGCCCCTCCCACCAGGCGGGCACGCCAGGTGGCGCGCGGTGGCGGGGCGACGAAACCGACGACGACGACGACGACGACGGCGGCGACGACGACGACAACGACGACGGCGACGACGACGACGACGACGGGGGTTATAGAATTCCTACGGAGGCATATAGAATCCCTATGGGGGTCGATAAAATTCCGATGGAGGCCGATAAACATTCTATTGGGGCTTATATAGAATTCCTATGGAGACCTCTAGAATTCCTATGGAGGCCCATCGAATTCCGATGGAGGCCTGTAGAATTCCCATGGGGGCCTGTAGAATTCCTATGGAGGCCTATAGAATTCCGATGGGGGCCTATAGAATTCCTAGGGAGGTCTATAGAATTCCGATGGAAGCCTACAGATTTCCTAGGAAATCCTATTAGGGAATCCTTGGCGTCCCCAGGAGGCCCCCAGAGAGGGTTGCTGGGTTGCTCGGTTGCTTGGGGGGGGGCGGCCGGGGCTCCCACGCACGCCTTTTCCAACAAAAAACAACAATAACAACACCAGCAACAGTAACAATAACAAAAGCAACATCAACACCATCAGCAGCAACAACAACACCAACAACGACAACGACAAGGACTGACAGCAAACACAACAACAACAATCATTGACAGACTGTTCGATCTGAGCTGCTCGCGTGCCATTGAACACGTGTGTCCCGAACACTCGATACTCGCCCTCTTCGTCCTCGACCGTACCCCCTTTGGGGTATATCTTTCTCGCCTGCAACGCGTATTTCGCGCAGCCCCTGAGGCAGGGGAAGAGAGGACGGATGGAAGGAAAGACAAGGGGGAGGGAGGAGGATAGAGCACGGGCTAAGAGCAGAAAACAAGTGGCAGAAGCAGACGGGCAGATCGGGCGGGTAGACCCTACCAGGCGGGTCGGAAGGCGGGCCCAGGCGGCCAAGTCGAGCAAGCGGGTTGCTCAAGCGTGCGTCCTGCATGAACCGCGAGGAAGTATCGAGCGACAACTTGATTCCCAATACAATATCGAGGAAATCCACAGCGAGAGCCTGACTCCTGAATGTCGAGGGCGCGGCGACTGAATAAATTGAAAAGTCCCACGCGAGAGCGCGATTCCTGAATAAATTGTAAGGAAGTCCCGCGCGAGAGCGCGATTTGGGAATACATTGTGAGGAAGTAG